CTCCAACCCCCAAAAAAAATTTAAGTTTGTTTTTAAAAAATATTATTTCATTTTTTCACCCTTACCCTCGACCCCCCTACCAGCCCCCCACCCCCAAAAAAAATTTAAATTTGTTTTTAAAAAATATTTTCAATTTCAAAAATTATTTTCTACTCTAGTAAAAATAAAAGATATTTCTCAAAAACATTTTTCATTCATAAATCAAAAACTAATTTTTTTTCGGAAAATATTTTCTAGTCACCAGCCAAACATGGGAAAATAAGTCAAAAAATCAACTTGTTTTCCAGGAAAACATTTTCTAGATAAACATTTTTCATGAAAACATTTTCCTTCATACCAAACACACCCGCAGTGTCTTATCTATTGCACTATCTGTTGCAATAGATAACCCATCTGTTGAAAATAATCAAATAAATATGATCATTTGTTGCAACAAATATAGGAATTCGTTACAATAAATGTCTAATATGTATTGTCTATTGCAATAAATGATTCATCTGTTGAAAATAATCAAACATATATGCTCATCTGTTGTAATTGATCATTCATCTGTTGAAGCAAATAAGCATCAGTTGCAACATATGAGTGAGTCATCTGTTGCAGCTGGTTATAATCTATTGCAATAAATGTTTATTGTTTCCATTATATGTGTCATTTGTTGCAATAAGTAACTCATAACTTGCTGCAACATATGTCTATTTCCAATAGTATATTTAACATTTTACAAATCTAAGAGTAAAATAGAATTCTTGATAAAATAATTGAACATCTATAAGATATAAAATATGGTCATCAACAATTACAAAATATGATTAACTAAATATGATAAGTATTCATGAATTACAATTCATATAAGATTCTTCGGGAAGGATTGAATAGATGAACATAATTTATTTTTGGGTTGTTCTTGGCAGACAACCACCTAAGAATCCTTGGTTGAGAAATCTTTTTCGAGTAATCCTTGAATTGCTTCCAGAAGTAAGGTATTGCTTCAAATGCCCAAGCCTAAAAATATAAAGATGATGGAAATAAAAATTTAAAATAATTATTCAGTAACACAAATAAATAAAATATTAAAATTAGAAGTTTACCATGAAAGCCCAAGAAAAACCATATAAATTGTTCGTCTTTGATAATAACTTTGACAAAAAATATTTGATAGTCAAGAAATCAATTTATGCATCATTAGAAAAAGATAACAATAAATTTAATAAATACAACATAATACAATCATCAATAGAGAATACAATCTGTTATAACAAATAGGTCATCTATTGCAACAAACAAGTCATTTGTTGGAAGAAATCAAAATAGTCTACTAATTTGATTTCTTCCAATAGATGACTTGTCTGTTGCAATAGATGGACCATTTATTGTAACAGATGCCTTATCTGTTGCAACATATGAGCCATATGTTGCAAGAAATAAAAAAATCTTGTTAGTGATTTGATTTCTTTCTATCTATGACCCATCTGTTGCAATGAATAGGGCATCTATTAAAAATAACGTAACAATAAAATCTTTTTTTCACAACACTAAAATATTTATTATCAATACTACCTACAACACCAAGAAAATCAAAAGCACTAAAAACACCACACAAGCTATTTTACCAATTAAACAACATCAATCTCATGTTTTTACCAATATACTAAGAACACTAACAAAACAAAGACTTATCAGCAAAGAGATAGCCATCAAAAAAAATTGGGAATGCATTTGAAAATAAAATTGATGCAAAGAGGACTCTTCGCAAGATCAAGCTTTTTTCTCACATTTGAAAGTGCTAACGAATACATAAAGAGAAGACAACTCAAGTTCTTCTTCTTTTTTACAACTAAAAAGGAAAAGAGATCAAACTTCTTTCTCACATTTGAAACTACTAACGAATACATAAAGAGAAGACAACTCAAGTTCTTCTTTTTCTTTATAAATAAAAAGGAAAAGAAAGCCTGATCTTGATTATGATGTTATGCGCACCTTGTAGACATTGCTGCTCAAATCCAATTGGGCAGAATCTCTAACTTACACTATTGAAAAACTCATGGCCCCATGACAAACTCTTCTGATCTTCCTCCAATTGCAACATAACTATTTGTAAGTTAGAACAACGAATCGTATATTAGCCAATAGTTCAGTTTGATTAAAATAATTTAAGCATTTCAGCTTAGCCCAAGTGTAGAAAACAATCTCAGAAAGACTTTGTCATGTACTTGTTGCTCTGGTCCAAAAATATTATAGCCAGAGAGATCTTATTCCATAGATATAAGAGTTTATAAGTAAAGAAGAATAAAGCCCTTCTACTTTGCGTGAATTGTCGAAAAGTAAAAACTATGTGAACTCTAGAAAATTGACCTTAGCAGTGTTCTTGGAGGCAATAAATTATTTATGATGTCTTGATTATGTTTTCTTTTCTTCATTCTTTCCAACAAAATTAAGAATATCAACAACACCAATTGATTCAATACAAACAACACAAACAACAACAAGAAGTCAATATATCAACAATTGTTCGAGAAATACAAATAATAAATATGTCTACGAAAAACTCAAAAATCACAATAACTATTACATAACACAATAATGTTGGAGAACAACAACAACAAAAAAAAATAATAAATCACATTTCGCTTCTTTTTGGATTTTTCGAGATCAACAACAACAAATTAAGGTTTTTTTCGGATTTGTCTTCTTTTTCAAGCATCAACTTCTAAAATTGCTAACGTATACATAAAGAGAAGACAACCCAAGTTCATCTTTTCTTTATAACTAAAAAGCCCTAATTTTTTTCAAAAATAAAAGTTTTTACCTGCGAAGAGAGAAAATTGATGCTTAGATTCGAAGCAGTTGCCGGAAGTTGAAAAGTTGAGATCCAAAAGTTGAAAAGTTACCGGAAGTTGATTGGGAGCGATGGCAGAGCAGATTTGAGGAAGAGACGTTTGAGTCGGAAGAGAGGAAGAACAATGAAGAAGAGAAGTTGAAGAAAGTGGAGAGAAATTTGGATTGTTTTGTATTTTAAAATTTGGACTGTTTTGTATTTTTTTTAAAATTTGAAGTTTTGAAAATGTTAATTTAGTCCCAATTAACTTAATCTAATAATTAAATGATTTGACTCTTATTTTGGTCAAAATAGTCACCAAAATTTAAATAGACTTAGGAGATACCTTCTGTTCAATTTTCTTGAGAAGCTTGTGTTAGACTAATTAATTTGAAAAGTACTTCTGCTAATGTTAGAGCATCATTTGTGGCTCTGTGCTTGGCGGATGCTTCAATAAGTGTTTCTGGGTAGAAGTTACTTTTTAACTTGTAAGGAACAACTCTAGCTACTCTGAAAAGGTACTTATTTTTCGTAAAATCTTGAGCCAAACTTCAAACACCTCAACTATCTAACATAAACACTTTTTTTCTTTAAAAAATAAGTACCTTTACCCATTTCTTCGACATTGCGTACATTAAGGTGAATAAAGAGTCAATGTTGAATAGAGATGCATCATTGTTTGAGGATGACATCATTTCTATTTCATAGTATCTTTTAGTATAAAATACCAGTTTGGGTAGATGTTTGGGGCAACTTGTTAGAAGTTGATGGATGAGTCACTTATTCGTATGGCACTTTTTCCAGCACTACCTTCGTTTCGCATTAATGATAAAAATTTGATCTATAAAAAAAAATTACAACACTCGTCTCACAATCAGGAGGTCCGGTGCTTTTCTTAATTGTGAATTATAAGGCACTTGTAAAAACCACCATATAACTTGTGTGTGTTTTTATTACGAAAAATTACAAGGTACTTATTTTTCGTAAAATCTTGGGCCAAAGTCCAAACACCTCAACTATCTAACATAAACACTTTTTTTTCTTTAAAAATAAGTACCTTTACCCATTTCATACTAGTTCGACATTAAGGTGAATGAAGAGTCCATGTTGAATAGAGATGCCATCGTTGTTTGAGGATGACATCATTTCTATTTCATAGTTTCTTTTAGTATAAAATACTAGTTTGGGTAGATGTTTGGGGCAACTTGTTAGAAGTTGATGGATGAGTCACTTATTCGTATGGCACTTTTTCCAGCACTACCTTCGTTTCGCATTAATGATAAAAAATTGATCTATAAAAAAAAATTACAACACTCGTCTCACAATCAGGAGGTCCGGTGCTTTTCTTAATTGTGAATTATAAGGCACTTGTAAAAACCACCATATAACTTGTGTGTGTTTTTATTACGAAAAATTACAAGGTACTTATTTTTCGTAAAATCTTGGGCCAAAGTCCAAACACCTCAACTATCTAACATAAACACTTTTTTTCTTTAAAAAATAAGTACCTTTACCCATTTCTTCGACATTGCGTACATTAAGGTGAATAAAGAGTCAATGTTGAATAGAGATGCATCATTGTTTGAGGATGACATCATTTCTATTTCATAGTATCTTTTAGTATAAAATACCAGTTTGGGTAGATGTTTGGGGCAACTTGTTAGAAGTTGATGGATGAGTCACTTATTCGTATGGCACTTTTTCCAGCACTACCTTCGTTTCGCATTAATGATAAAAAATTGATCTATAAAAAAAAATTACAACACTCGTCTCACAATCAGGAGGTCCGGTGCTTTTCTTAATTGTGAATTATAAGGCACTTGTAAAAACCACCATATAACTTGTGTGTGTTTTTATTACGAAAAATTACAAGGTACTTATTTTTCGTAAAATCTTGGGCCAAAGTCCAAACACCTCAACTATCTAACATAAACACTTTTTTTCTTTAAAAAATAAGTACCTTTACCCATTTCTTCGACATTGCGTACATTAAGGTGAATAAAGAGTCAATGTTGAATAGAGATGCATCATTGTTTGAGGATGACATCATTTCTATTTCATAGTATCTTTTAGTATAAAATACTAGTTTGGGTAGATGTTTGGGGCAATAAAAGATCTTAAAGTGGATAAAATAATTTATTTTTAAAAAAATTATACTTTTTATCATAAATAATTAATTTTCTATACAAATTTTAACACATAATTTATTCTTGACAAAAATTTGGGGGCCTAAGGCAAAGGCCTTATTTTTGAAAGCATAGAGCCGGCCCTGTAATAATCCAACTGCATCAGATATTTCATGCATTACTGTATCATAGCGTGGAGTCTTTAGCATTAGCTAATAGGTCCATCGTTGAGAAAAAAGCTGCTGCATATGGAGAAGTTGTCAAGAATCTCACTAGTGCAAGAGAGCGTTGTTTACCCTTTAAAGTAAGTTCTGCATGTCGGTTCTTCACGACTTGATTTGATTCCACCTTCCTTTGAAGCCAGTGAGATTTCTCTGTCTAGTTTTGGTGATTATATCCGTTACTGCTTCAACAAAGTTATTAGAGGACTAAAATGCCAGTGCTTACACCTATAAAAGAACATGAATATTGTGACGTGGTGACTCAAAAGGGAATGCTTACAAAGTACTTAGATTCAAGGAATTCTATCCAGTCATCTAATCAAAGGTCAAAAGGTAAAATATACATGAATCACTTATTTTGTAGTTTTCTTGGACAAAATAATAGCGTATTAGTAAAAAAACATGCAAGACTGACGGGAAACACAGGAAAAAGTGAAATACTGTGGTGTGTGGACTGTAATGTTATGCTATACCTGTCCTGCTTCATATGATGCTATTACTATTTGAAGATCCAAACCTTTTTTTTTTTCCAAACATTTCAAAGTATTTCAAATATACAAGATGTTATTTTGTGGTATTTATATGTTATATCTTATTATTAAAAAAATTAAGGAATTGATGTTTGAACTTACATCGGCAATTTGATGCTTCAACCGTCGTGCATCAAACCCCGTCATTCCTTTTTTTCAGAGGGAGTAACTTCTGTATTGCTGTTGGACAACCAAGCAATCCCTAACTAGTGAAAGTGTAATACTTGATGGGTGATATTCAGAATTTATGCATATTATCACTTTGACCTCTTATTTGGTAGCTTCCTCTTTGATGTCCATTGGTTGTTTCACTATGCTGATTTTATTGATTGAATGGCCTTGTTAATTGCCTTAAAAAAAATTCATACTATGTTAGAATTTTGATCAATTAGCTGTGATTATTGTTAGCCTGCTACAGCTTTTAAGTGTGCTCTTGAGAGTTTGGGTCTTAATGCATCTGGTGGGAAGTCAGTTGGCATTCAGAAGATCTGGCATCTATTGTCGGTATGGTGTCAAACTTGACCTTTGTATTTCTTTGAATCTCGTGTTGTTAACATTTTCTAAATCTGTAACTAGTTATCAATTTAACAAATTTGTAACAGTCTCTGATGGGTGAAGATTCAACTGTCCAACATAATGTTTCAAAGAAAATGTCTTTAGTAATTGGAGCTAGACGTCACCTAGAATGGGGTCATGAGAAGTACATCATGGAGACAATTCAAGCCCATCCTGCTCAGGTATTGAATTAGTGTTGATGTTGTCAGTTGATAAGCATTTCTATGATTTACTTTGGCACACGTTCTATTTTTCAGTTCAAACTCGTGATCTGTTCAGTGTACTGTTAATTTGGGTCTTTAAATTGAGTTAAGGATAGCTTGTTGATTTTAACATTTATGAAGTTCTTTTTGGTCCTTTTCATATCCTATCTTCTTCTTATTTGCCAATAAAGAAAAGGAAAAGTTCTGCCTTCTTTTTTTTGGGGTTGCAGTGAGGGGTGAATGCAGTGGGGGGGGGGGGATGTTCTTCGCCTCGTCACCAATTTGATTTAAATTGACATTACTGATAACTGATGGTCTTGCTGACTATTATAGGCTGCACTTGGTGGCGCTGTTGGTAATTTGCAGAGAATCCGCGCCTTTCTCAGGGTTAGTTTGGCATCTTTATTAAATGTCATTATTAATCTGCGATCTTCATTTTAGGATGCAGCACATACCATTTTCCATGATTATAGCATTTTGCCTATTACTTTTCAGTTTCCATGACTGGATTTTCCTGATTGTTGTTCCTTATCTCAGATCCGTCTAAGGGACTACGGGGTTCTTGATTTTGATGCAGTTGATGCCCGTAGACAGCCTCCCATTGATACCACCTGGCAGCAGGTTTGAATGCTTTACTCTGATTACACAAACCATCAATATGCAGGCTTTTGCATTTTGGTTTGAGCTATTAGATGTTTCCGTTAAGTTTTTTTTTGATAGGTAATATTTTAGTCATGGTTTTAGATCAATCCATTCAATCACATGAGCAAGTTATGACTCTAGTCTTGTTTGGTCTTGTATTTTAGGAATTGCCAATTCTAGTGTAAAACCTTTTGGTTGTGAATTTATCCAGCAAAGTATATCAAACTAGATCACCTCCTTGTGTTTTGGAAAGAAAATTGAGCAGATCTGTTCTTTTTATAAGCATATATTGGGCTATATTTTGTGCGATAAGAAGTTTCACTTTCTTGTTTTGTTGTTGTCAGTTGGTGGTCTTGTGATCCTTCAAGATCCCAGTGTAGTTTGAGATTTGGATTTCTCTTAACAATTTCTTGAATTAACAAGGGTTCTTTACTTTTCTCTTACTATTGTGTTTAACAACCATTTTTGCTGGCTTATGCTTATGTCTCTCTTAAATTCATAATTTGTTCCCTTATTTGTTAATACTTCTTGCTTTGACTAGCACCCAAGTTTTTACAGACTACAGTCTCTCTATACGGTAATCTTGTGCTATTTTCATATTTGATAATTAGATTTTTTTTCTTAGATTTCTATCATCTACTATCAATCTAACAACTAAGTACTATCATGAATTATTCTTTTAAGCATTTGTTTTACTTTTAAGCATTCAACTTCTTCCAGCCGTCCTATATTTGTCCAAGGACATGGGAGACGAGGGGTATAATGTAGATGCTGTTCATATGGCTATTGTCTTAGCGGACTATGGGGTCCTCTCTGACAGTACATGGGTAGGTCAAAAATTTGGGGTCATGGATGCTTTTGCTGAAGCCTCTAGCATAATTGGGCAGTATGGATCATTATACCATCGTCATGGTGATCTGTTAATGTCATTGGAGTACTATGTGCAAGCTGCTGCAGCAGTGGGTGGTGGGCAGTTGTCGTGGAGTGGACGTGGTAATATTGATCAGCAAAGGCAAAGGAGCTCAATGTTGAAACAACTTCTTACAGAGCTATTGTCGCGGGATGGTGGTATTGATATTTTACTTGGTCCCAGGGGTACTGGAGAAGAAGGTCAACTTGGAAGGTTTTTGACTGATGAAAAGACTAGACAACAATTTCTGCTTGAAGCTGCTCGGCAGTATCAGGATGCGGGGCTCTATGACAAGGTAATCTTTTCTTTCTTCCTTCTATATAGTGACATGAATAAACTTTTTGCTCTAACTTGTGTAGTTCGACATAAGACATAATAATCATTTCTTCATTCAATGACAGTAAATTATCTCTATAGCATGAGATCTATTTTGGGTTAGATTTGAAGTCATTTTTTTGGGCAATTGTTGTACTTAGTGAATAATGTCTTGTCATGTACTTTTGAGTTGG